AGCAGCAGCTACAGAACTGCGGGTACATTGACCACAGTCCCTCAACAGGGACTGTGCATTGACGTGATTCGACGTCTGTGACTAAAGCAAAACAGAGTCAACTTGTATAAACATGAAAAACATCATACTAACAAATTCAAAACAAAGTTCGACTGTGCGCATTTACAATTAATTCAAGCACTATTCCCGAAAATACACTGGAACTGACATGGATTGATTAAAAACAGTGTCTTCTCTTGACAAGTGAAGTCGTTGAACTCTGACCATATGCAGACGAGGATGTATCCACAAAACGCAGGGAAAATTTACCCGCCGAACGAGCCTGGACAACAGACATGGGCGAGGATTACTCTGTGAATGTCACATTTCGAACACTAAATTGACAAAGTAAAGTTACAAAATCTAACGAACAGGCTAATATCCGGTTTTATGAAGCTCCTATCAACAAAAAATTGTAATTATCAGGATTTTTAAAGATTCCGTTTTGACAAAAAACGACTTACCGTTTGAGGACGCCATGTTTTCTGGTATGGGATTTCCCAGGATGCATTGCGTTCACAAAATCGAAACATCAATCGTTTTGAATCCAGAATAAACTACGTTACAAATCTTATTAAATCATTTGTTTTCTAACATTATGTGAATTCTCACTTACTCCTAAAAGCTACAATTTAATTTGTTTTCATATAGAATCAAACATTCAACTCGTCTCTTCGGCGGCACAAAAACGCTTCGGGTATCATCGACAAAGATCGGAATAATCAAGATGGCGGCGACCATGGTGCTTGACGGTGGAGTCTTGAATCAAGCAAATATGACAAATTCTAGCGTGCCAGATTGGGTTGCTGGCGAGCACATGACAGGAGTAAGTGCAACAACTACGTGCTTTACTAATATGCTACTTAAATGTATCTTATGCCCCAAAATAATTCATTCTGCCATAATATTGACAAACGAAGTAGTCATTCACACATGTATTATGACATTGCATTTTTATTATCATCATCAATTTGGGTTAATCTAACTCTAGTTTTTACGATATCACATTTCTATATTTGTTGGAAAAAGGTAAAATATATAACGGAGAAAACCTAGTTAGCGAGCACAGTATTAGTATGAATTCATATGCAGTACTTGGCAGTTGGTTTTGCTGTAGTTTGTTTTGTTTTTATATCCAGGCATAGACCCTCTACTGGAGGGTCTTAGCTGCGGTTCCGTAGCTCTTTGGTGCGACCTACAATCGAATTTCGCCCTCACAATTTCATTTGGACGTCTTTTTTTAATTTTGTTGTTTTACGTCGAACATAGAGCTACGGGATCTATCACCGTTAAAAAAAACCAGAAATCTGGCAAACGTAAATTAAATCGCTTTTGCTTTTGATTACGATGGTGTGACGTACCTTTATTGTGAATTGATCGCTGGATGAATAACATACAAACTTTTGTTTGCAATTTGTGTTTATAAATAAGCAATAATTTGTGATATTTTCAAACAATTACCGCGGAAACCAAGCAAATTTCGAGAAAACGGCAGCCATTGACATCCCACACTCCCTAGCGCAGAATAAATGTAATCTCGTTTGGCGGTCATGTGATGCAGTGGTGGAAGAATAAAACTCACTCTTCCCGTTATTCTAATTGTTCCAAGAAAGCAATCACATACAGTATTTATAATTGTATGATTTTTGTTTAATAATAGAAACAGTCATCATTTCACAGCGCAAATAGGTTCTGGTCATTGTTTGGAAGTAAATAAACATAGTGAGTACTTTCGAAGGTCTTAAAATGTGATTTTCGCGACGACCAAATTTGGCATGTGGATTTTAACCGGTATTCAGTCGCACAAGGCCCCATAGCCCTATGGGCCGGCCAGAGTCAGTCACGTAAATAATGCGTTCGGCAACAAAGGGCTATGATTCCACAGCTAGGAGGGTCTATGATCCAGATAACTATGTATAAGTAGTACATGTACAAGTTTTTTCAAGTTGCCATACCGGGGCAAATCGAAACTCGTTCTTTCGAACAATTGACTTTTTCTTGTCATTTTGCCCACAATTTCCAACCTTTCTACAGTCAATGGACCAAAAAACTGATTTGTCACGTATCTGAGAAGGATGCCCCAAAACATGCCGATTATCTCACAGAAAGCTTTACAAGTAATATACAAGGCTGGACATCTACAGTTTTGAAATAAACCAACTGTGTTAAAATGCATTAACTGGAAAATCTACAATATTTCTTCATCATGGCTTGATTGATAGTTAACAGTTTCTTATTTCTGTTGGAGGCCCCCAGGAGGAATTTCCAGCCACTGTCTGGGTCGGAAAAATTATATCGTACAGATGATACTACCTGAGTCATACATGTATTTACTGTCTAAGAATAATCATGTCATTCACAGCTCAAAATTATAATTCATGCAAAGAGATAAGAATTTGTACTGTATTGCACCAGGTGTATTACTTACTATAGTTGTATGAATTTTGTTGATCATTGCAAATAATTGTAATTCTAAGATGTTATAATCCTAGCCAACGGCATTACAATTGAAAACCATGATAGTGAATCAATAATTGCAGTTGCAAAATAAGGTTTAGTATCATGTGTGTACTTTTTTGCCCTTTTTATACGCGTTATGTGATTCTTATTCTCACTGTCAGTTCAAGGTTACTACAATGTAGATGGTATATTTCTCTTCTTTTCTTCAGACCTCCATTATGGCAGTTGAATTCAAAGATGGTGTGGTTATAGGAGCAGATTCCAGAACAACAACTGGGTATGTTTAGATGCATATTTAAAAAAAATTCCTGCTATTTTGAACATTGTTCTAAGAAACTTAGAGGTCACATGTAATAGTATTGTGCAAGCAATGGTGGCCTTTTGCAAAACCCAGTTAACATGCATGTTATTTGTTTATTGCAAACCTGTAAGTATAATTTGAGCTGTATCTTTGAGGTCGTTATCATGGATATCGTATGCATTCAATATCTCTCATCAGTGTTCTGCCCCAAACCTCTGAAGTACAATTGTATCACGGTACCGTGGTGCTTGGACTCTCACCCATGATGCTTACCCTTTGATTTTACTTGATACATACTAAAAAATACATAAATGATATAAAATGTATCAGACTGTTTTGTCTTTAAAGGAAACATCAACCCAAACAACATAATGACCCCTGAAAAAGCTCTACAAATGTAGGAGAATGCAATTTACAGTTTTTTTATATCACTTTTCATTCTCTAGATATTCAACTTTTCATCAGTATTATTTAGTCAGCCATTTGATTTTCACGCAAAGGATTATGGGTAAAGTATGACATCATAGACTGTTGTCAGATAATAATTATGACTTCAAAAGTTTAACTTAAAATTGGCTGAAAGTTTATAGATTGGTAGCATACATGTACTGGTGCCATCCATGTTTATAAAATAGTTGTCATGAAAACAGAACTGAGAATATTGATTTTTATGTTTTTCTACCAAATTCTCAAATTTCCTTATATTGTATACAATTTACCAATGTGAGTTATATAAGTGATATATCACATGTTGACCACAAAAAGGGGACACAAAAGTGTCATTTTATATTTCACGACTAAAATATTGATTTTTATTTTTTTAACGTTTTTAGCAATATCTTCACTTCATGTGTATTTGTAATATTCTAATTTCCACTACTATAATTATATACATGAGTAATATGCACAACAAAAATTTGAA